GATGGGTTAGAGCATGCTTTCACCACAGAATCAGTCTGCTCTAACAAGCTGCGCTCAAATAGCTTATCAGATTCATCGAGAACAAGATACTCAACCCTGCAAAGCAACATTTATGTGGTAAAGTGCCTCGATGCTAACATATTTGTTAAGATGTTGCTGGAATTGACAGTGCTTACAAATTAAGGTTAAAGTTGCCAATACATCTTTCTTTCTTAAAATAACCTAGAATCAGAGTAACATTTATATCTGGTTGACACAATCATAGATGTGCAATTCTGAAGAAAACAAAAGAAAAGCTCATCTTTGTTTCTTAAACCCAGTTCAAATATCTGGAGCATGTTCTCAGCATCCCAATCCACCTGGACCAATCTTACCCACCAAAAACAAAAGTTCACACTAATTTCTTAAAAGAATACGTAAAAATGCAAAAAACTATACCCATGTAAGCTATACTCTCCCCAACCAATTAGTATACAATAGAAGTGCTTTGAGGCTCTATATGGAGTAATACATCTTGCAGGGGTGTGCCAATCAGACTTGCTCATGGAATGGATGGGTTATTTCTTGAATGCTTCATTTTTCTTATTTCTATCAAGGTCCTTCTACGTAGGACAATCTCTAGTCCAACCTCCTGAACAGATATTTATCTATACAATAAAAGTACTAGTGGTGTAGGCCAACTCTAGATTTGTGTTCCGTGGAGGATTGCAGCAAGCTAGGTTTGAATATATAGGGATTTCGGAAGCAATTATAATATTTACTGTAGCATTGAATAGTAACCAGTATCATTGTAGCGAGAAAGAAAATATTGCTTAGAGAAATGTGGAAAGAAAGAACAGTCAATGCTAAGAGCATTAACTAAGTAATCTTAATATTCTAATTTCAAAAAATAAACTAAGATTCTTAGATAGTATTAATATTGCTAAGAGAAAATATTTCTTAGAGAAATGTGAAAAGAAAGAGCAGTCACCTGCTTAGGTCTATCTTCTTCTTCTTCTTGCAGATACATAACTGTAAACGACGAGGTGTTGATATAAGGATATCACAAGGTAGCTTTGTGAAATCAGTATTCCTCAAAAGCTCTTTGGTCATTAGCTTAATACGGAACTTACTTCCTTTAGCCATTTTCTTGCACTCCCTGGTTGTCTGAGCTGCTAACTCTCGTGTATGACACAAGATAACAGCTCTGATCCCATCCTTTGATGGTTGCTGCATATAGAACTTTGATCAGAAAAGCTCTAGGATCAGATTTCTCCCAGTAAAAAGAAGTAGTACCTTCAATTTCATGAGCATGGGATACACAAAAGCCAAAGTTTTCCCAGATCCAGTTGGCGCTTTTGCAAAGCATTCCCGACCCTGGAAAACAGTGATGAGAAAACAGTCAAAAGGATAGACAGTGATAATAAAAGATCTCTCAACAACACATTTCAAAGTTCTAATGGAAATTAGCACAGTTCTAACAGACACCTGTCATATTCTTTTTAACTAAATTTAAATGGGAAAAAAACATGAATGACAAAAGCATTGGTCATCATAAGATAGTCAAACAGAAGTCCGTACAGATAGGAGGACTGGAATAGCCTGCCTTTGAATTGGTGTTGGCTCCTTGAATCCAAGTTTTACCAAATTGTGCAATAAATATGACTCACATCCATATCTGCAAGTGAATCAAAGTAAATTTTCATCTACAGTTAGAGAATAGAAACAAATATATTCAAAAGTGACAAAAAGGGCAGAGAGGCAGACATGTTCGCGGTACTATTGAGAACTAATAAAGGGGAGCAAGGTGTCCTCTGAGAGACAATAAGACGTCTAAGATGATGGACCACACAAAAAATGTAAGATAAACACAACACCCTAGAATGACATTAACAACTACAACGATGACACTACCAGATATTGGAAGGCAACAATTGAAGAAGAAAAGAATTGCTTTTACGAATAAATTCCCAAAAAAAAAGTAATGTGGAACACAAAATACACTACAACAGTGTCATTTACCAAAGTAGCTAATCCCTGGCAACATGAAATCAAAATCATTGTTTATATATCCATCTACATTAAGACTACAAAATAAAGCTACAATACCACCTTGTGCTTAACTCTGCAAAACTTTGCAGAGGGGATGGAACGTTGTTTCCAGAGACATGGATGCCATACTTCTTCCTTAAACGTAAATCCCGCTAACCTCAACAAGAATTAAAGAAAAGGAAAATCACAAACACAGATTTCATAATGAACACAATTATAATACTAATAATAATGACATACAATGACAAGAACTATAATTTAAAAAAAAAAAGGACAAACCAACCTCATTTTGCCTATTTAATTCCTTCTGATTATTTTCCTCCTGTTCACTTCCTTCATCGGTCACCACCGGCACCGAATCTGAACCCTTAAACACACTGAACCCCTCCACCCTTTCTATATCCACCAAATCAATAAACAATCAACAAAGCCCAAAATCAGAAAAAGTCAAAACCTTTCCCTTTCAATTCACAATCCGAAACCCACAAAGAAAAATCAATAACCTGCTTTAGTTTTCCTCTTCCTCTTCTTATTGACAGAAGCTACCACTTTCTCTGCTTCAGTGTCTTCTCTTTTGAAGTAGCTCAAATCGTCCACTGGACCATCATCATTTCTTTGTTTTCTCTTCTAAATAAATTAAAATTGGATCACAAAATAAACATTAAAGGTTAAATCCCCAAAACCAAAAGCAGAATAAAAATAAATAAAGGTGTTACCTTAAAGCGGGAAAAATCACCGGCAAACCTCTTCTTATTGAATTTGATGCCAGTGAGTAAAAAGGAGGTGTCTTTCTCCATTTTTTGAAGCTTTTTTACGCTGAATTTTAAGATTGAGAAAGAGCAGGCAAATAGCAGCGGAGAGAGGTTTTTGCTCGTTTTAGGGGTTTAGGGTTTATTTCTCAGGCTGTCCCCGTCTGTGGCGATGGCTATTTTGTAATCGCCTTAAACGGCAACGTTGTTTAAAAACCCTAAGTTTTTTTTTTTTTGTCTTAAAATATGTATCAAATTAATTTTTAATGAGTTAATTATAATTTAATCCTTATAGTTTATCAAAATAAATAAATCCATCCCTGTAGTATCAAAAATGATTAAATAGTCCTTTTATAAGTGTTGATCATGCTTCATTGAATTGTATTTTGTTCCCAAAAAAACTACTTTCTTTTCTCATCAAATTTCCATCCTAACTATTTATTTTCTTATCATTGTTAATAAAAAAAAAAACCAAAGTAAACTTAAAAAGAACATGAAATAGACAGAATGATTAAGTCACAAATAAATATAAAAATATAGGGACTAACTAATAATTTTTTAAACCATGAGGACTAAGTAATTATTTTTGCTTAAACTATAGGTCAAACTTTAAAATTAAAAAACAAAATAGAAATAAGAGCAGATAATATGTGGTCTTGGTGAGGTGATGTGTCATTTATCATTGCCGGTTTTGGCTTCCCTAAATTCAAGTTCTTGGATATTTTCCTTAAAAAAACCTTAAACATGTCCTAAAAACCTTAAAAACCTAATTGAAATTGTAAAATCCATTTTAGTTCACCTGAAAGCTTAAAACTATCAAATCAAAATACAAATATAAATTATCAATCTAATTCTAGATTGGTATTTTCCATCCTATAATAGCTTAATAAAATAATTGATTAATTAGGACATGTTTAAAAATATAGTTATGATTATTTTTAAAAATATTTTTTATTTAAAGATATATCAAAATATTTTTTTATTTTTTAAAAATTATTTTTAAAATTAACAAATCAAAATGATTTAAAAATACTAAAAATATTAATTTAAAATAAAAAATAAAAAATAATTTTTTTAAAAAATTACTTTTAAAATATAAAAATAAATAAGACCTAAACTCTCGTCAAGAAAAGCTCAATTTTACCATGTTGACAAGAATTTTAGAGTTTTTCTTTCTCCTCACTAGTTCCTTTGTTTTTCTATGTTACTAGATCTAGGGAATAAAATGAAACAAAAAGGAAGTATAAGGGCTAAAGTGTTAAAAATATTTGGAATATCTAAAATATCCCAATAATAGAAGTACCAGTTTATAATGTAATTAATTTATTAATTTTTCAACTTTAATAGTTAGAATTAAATAGGTGGACTGTGTTATGCTGTAAATAACCTTTTAATAAATTAATAAATTTTAAATAAAAATAAATAAATCTATATCATCTTTTATCTTTGTCTTAAGAGTATTAAAAATCATGAATGAATCCCAGAGTTAGAAAAACAATTAACAAATTTCGCATACATTGGTCAAATACAACGTCGAGGAATAAAAGAAAAGGTCAGAACATGCAAGAAGTAGTGTGCTCAACTTGCTTCACTTACAGAGAATAATAATTTATTTATTTTGGTGTTTTAAAAATATTTTTAATAAAAATTAATTTTTTATGTTTTTTTACTTTAATTTTTATATATATTTTTATATTATTTTGATATGCTGTATTAAAAATATTTTTTAAAAAAATAAAAAATATTATTTTAATATATTTTTAAATAAAAATATTTTAAAAAATAATTATATTTAATCATATTTAAGTGATTTGCAAGCAAAATTACAACTTCGAATCTCTCGAAAAGAAAATTGGGAAGATAAGATAGGCAAATGGGTAGATATGCTTATTTTCAGAAGTGCATAATATAAATTTTATAATTTAAATTAATTTAATTTTTATAATTAAATATATAAATTTACAAATTAATTTAAATTAATTTAAATAGATTTAATATGTTGTTATTTAAATATTTATAAAAAATTTATATTAAAATGCTATTTTAAATTAAATTATCTTTTTATCATTTAAATTATTTTTATAGATGATATCGAATCAGTTCCAACATGTTTTAAAAAATCTCTTACCGGAGAGAAAATATCAGAAACAATGAACTAATTTTTCATATCTGACCTCGGCTGCCCAATTATCTATTATATATAAAAGACTCATAGGAAAAAGGGACCATGAGAAGGAACGAAATAAAAGATAAACGCTTGACCTACTGGAATTGTCACCCATCCATCCAAATTTCCCGATTCTTATACTCTGAGTACCTTGATGGATGTGTTTATCGTGGTTTAGAGTGAGAGAAGTGGAGGATGGCTGCTGCTGCTGCTCCAATGACCATAAAGATGAAGGCTTGTTGTGGTTATGGTGGCATCAAGGCCATGGAAATAAGATGGGCGACTAGAAAGGAATACAGCAGCAAAGTATCAACGAAGTTAAAACCAAGAATACCCATTTTCATATCCACAAACCCTTCTCACATAAACCCTCAAGAACTGAGAGACCTCTACGGCATCTGTAACCACTCCTGCCACAGGTTTCCAAAGATGGACAAGATGGGGAAACTAGTTGAGCCTGTTGACATCAAGAGACTAAGCGTTGCTCTTTCTCACAGTGCTCTCCTTGTCTCTGTCTTTTGCAATGAAGAAGATGTTTTGGCTAGTGATGATGATTGTGGAAATGAGAGTGAACCCAGTAAGGGAGAGACTCCTCCCGTGCTAGGTTTGGGAGATTTGTTGCACAGGGTGGTGCCTTTGCCTGTGGTTTCACCTTCCACTGGCATGTTAGTGGGATTTGGCCGTGCTGTTTCTGATCATGGATTGACTGCTTCCATCTTTGATGTCATGGTATGTGTGTGTGATCACTCCTTTTCCTCACTGTTTATCAATCCCAATTGAGATTCTTTTTGAGCTGCTAGTTATGTTAGAGGACGCAATCCATTGTTTCCAAGGGCCTTTCCCTTGTTCTGTGGTCTAGTAATTTGTCTGCTATGTATGAATTTGGGTAATTCTGGTCCAAAGCAGAATTCCTGTTCTTGATAATTATCTTTCCACAATCTTTGAACTATTTATTGCTGGATTGAAATCTTGAAGCCTTGTGAAGTTTCCATTTGTTTTGCAAATATATAGTCATTCAACTTGGTGCCTAGAAATCAATTTATATGGGAATATCGACAAATTAAATATACATTATATCATAGTCCATAAATTATTCCAGTTTGCACAAATATTATCGGCGAAAGCCGGATAGTTAACTTCACTTGTATTCATATAATTGAGTTTCAGTGCCTCCCAGGTTATTCCTTCATTACGAGGGATGGGAATTGGGACGATGATAGTTAAAAGGATCATTAGGTTAGTCAAAAACTCTCTCTATATTTACGTATAAAGTTTCAATGATTGATCTGCACTTCCATAAAGATTAGCCAGTTCATTAATTCTTACCAATCTCAAGGAAATCTATAAGTGGCTGCTGCTTGAAAGTTTGTTGATGTGCTGCTTCCATCAGTGGCAATGTTGCTTCAATACACTGCTCCTGTTGAAATGACTTTATTCTAGTCTCTGGCATCAAGTTCTATTGGCCTCTCCAGGATAATCTGATGTTCGATGACAGGAGTTTCAGATTTAGGAATCGAGAAATTATTCTCTTTAGAGTGGAAAAGACCTGTTGATGCAATTACCTGCATATCAGTTCTCTGGAACATCAAAAAGCACCTCAGTTTTAAAATTTAAATGTAGCAGCTTTTCTTTTTCTATCATGTTTTCCCTCGATCTGGAGCCTAACATTTACCTTTTTGTCTTCCAGAATACTCACAAGTAGAGATATTTATGACATTGCAGCCCTTTGCTCGGCCAATGAGAGGTAATTGTATGGAAGTCCCATATTAGCCACATACTTGGAATGGGTGTGAGAAAGATCTTTATGGTACTGCGTGTTCATATAAATTATCTCTCAAAGGCTTGTGTATCTACAAATGTATTTTAAAAAATGTCCAATTATTTTCCTTTTGACTTCAAATAAAAAATTAGCAAATGGAGAGGGAAATGGGTTGCAGAGACAGAGATAGGAATCACTCCCTCACCATGACAAGATTAAGCCCTTGAACGACATAGGCAAATCCAACTAGTTACCCACGGCTCAAATGTGGTTTTGAGAAATGGAATTGGGAGATAAAATAATCCCAGACTCAATTTATGCAGTCAGTTCTTTTGGCACAGTGGATATATATGAACTTGTAGAATTCCTGTTTGAGGATAAATGCATGATTTATTATTTTCCTTCTATGGTGTTCAGATACTTTGAACATATGCATGAAAACTTAGCCATTAACAATGGTTTGCCTAACCTATGTCAGGCTGTTCTTCAAAGCCTGTGGATTTGGAGATGACATAATGGGATCAACTACAATGATGTATACAAGGACTCTTTCAACTCACATTGAAGGTGATCAGATGTTTAAATATGCTGGTCGAAAACTTTTGCTGGTTCCGCCGCTACGTCAGTCTTCCTAGTCCTTGAAGAAGGCCAAATACTCGAGCATCAAACAGTCAGGCGGACCAAGTGTCAAGAGGGTTTGGGCCCGAGTGATTTCATTGAAAGAACGGCGATGTGCCGATATCGTTCACTCGATGAGGGCCAAATACTCGAGCATCAAACCGTCAGGCGGACCAAGTGTCAAGAAGGTTTGGGCCCGAGTGATTTCGTTGAAAGAATGGCGATGTGCCGATATCGTTCACTCGATGATGTCTGTACTGTGTACAAACGTGAAACTTTACTACAGCCGTTCATGTATGCTATTATTTATTTAATGAGGCACTGTTGATCCATTGACTATGAGCATATTTCAGACATGAGACTTGTTGATTTTCACCCCCCGGGACCACTTTGCATGCGGTTTCTTGTCAGACTCCGATTCTCGCTTAGCTGTGTTGCACTTTGTAGGAGAAAAAGATGCAAAAGATTACCCCTTAATTATGCTTAGGGATAGGAATCCTCTTCGGCAAAGTAAAGTAGCCTAAAAGATAATGCCCGACGGTTTCACTTTCTCCTTTCGAAAGCAGCTTTATCGAAATAAAGCCTTGATACAGGAAAAGTTCTCTAACCGTTAGTTGTCTTCTGCACTTGCTTGGCATGGGTAAAATTTGGGTTGAAGTTTGCTTGATATCTGCTCGAGGACTCCGGCGCACTTCCTCACTTTGGAAGCTTCAATGGTTTGCTGTTGGCTGGATTGATCCTAAGAACAAATATTGTACCAAGGTCGATGCCTCTGGAAATGCGAATCCCACATGGAAAACCAAGTTTGCTGCCTTGCTTGATGATTCAGACTTTCAAGATATGGCACTGCACGTTGAGGTATACAGCAGGGAGCCCATTTTTCTGAGAGAAAAACTTGAAGGGACTGCGACTGTAGTCCTCAAAGAATTCCTGGCAAAGTATAGCAACAGCAATGAGGCCTCAAGGCCAGGAACTGAAGAAGTAGGGAGCTATCAACTACGCAAAAGAAATTCCAGTAAACCTCAAGGATTTGTTGACGTTTCAATTCATATCTCCGAGGAAAGGGAACAGCCAAGTTCATACCCAGGTAATACTCTTGGGAGAAGTCTTTCTTAAACTCACCCTACTGAATTGTTAACTTCAGATTGTGCTCTAAGGACCAGTGTCTGTCTTTGTTACATTTTTATTTTGAGGGAGCATATTACAACCTGAATATTGATATAGAGCTTGGATTATCGTCTACAATCTTGTGGTTGAATTTTGGCATGCACTTGTTGAATTAAACTGCGTTACAGGCAACGACGGAGGGATTATGCTCATGGACCACAACAACAAGATTACACTACCTACTGAAGGGTCAGGGAAAGCCTTCCCTTCACAACTGCCTCTAGGTCCACTCCGACAACCGGAAAACCATTCATCAAGTGTGGCATACAATCATCCACTGCCGTACCCTGCAAATTATTCCAATCCATCAGTAGGTGGCCCAAGTTACCCACCAGCAGCTGGTCCAAGCTATCAACCATCTCGAACTCCTCCACCACCACCTCCCCCATCTAATGTTGGTTACCTGCCAACGTTTCTTCCAAACACAGATTATATAAATATGCCATCTTCGGTAGCAGCAGCTGGACCCCGAGGTCCACGACGTGGTTTGGCGATGGGAGTTGGTGCTGGAGCTCTGGCCGCCGGTGCTGTCATATTTGGTGATGACTTTATGTCAGGATTTGATAATCTGACTGGCTTACATGATCCTAGTCTTACAATAACAACAAATCCTCCTTTTTGATAGAAGGGGTTCCAGTTTCCTGTAATTGTGCTACAATGCTATCGAATTTGAATTGGTTGTCCCTTATTTTCTGCTTTATTTGTGAGTGTTCATTTCATTTTGATCCTGATACAGAGAACAAAAAAGTTTTCATTCAATTCTAGGAGAACTAATGATGATAGCCTGTTCTAGCCATCCACGTCACTAAAATCTTCTGATACGTTCCCACTTTTGATTAAATGCGCCTCGTGAGACAATATATGCAGTTATCCATTGTAAATAACATGCTCCTGAATATCATTGAAAAGAAATCCAAGCAAGAATTTCAAGTCACCAAGAGAGGCAAAAGGAATAAAAGCATGGTGTTAGAGTGTTAAATGTGCACGGGGTGCACACCTATATGGCATGACTAGGTTGTGGTAAGAATATCACTCTTAATTGTTTCCTCTGAGTTGAGGAATTGAATATTTTGATCAAGTCGAATCTGAATGCTACTTTTACCTAGCTTACAAGGTGTTCTCCTCTGAATCTACTATCAGCTTCTCAAATACATACAAGCTATGAGAAGAATGCCACAATTCTTGATTACTTCGAGACAAGAACCAGGTATAGCTCGTGAAAGTCCCTCGGCGTTCCAGGATGGAACAAGTTGCTCATTGTCACTCGTGATGATCAAAACTGGGAGTCAATTATCCGTCAGCAAAGACACCAGGGTCAGCATTTCATTCAACCTTTTAAAATCAATAATACAAGTCGCTCATTTTCACCCGTGATGATCAGAACTGGGAGTCCATTATCCGGCAGCAAAGACACAAGTATCAGCTTTTCATTCAACCTTTTAAAATCAATAATTAATGTGACAAAGCTGAAAGTATTTTCACGACTCAAAAAATGATGCTATACAACTGGACTCATTGGGAATCAAGAAGAAGACACCAAGAAATTCCAAGTAGAGATTTGGGTCTGCACGCAGTTGCGAATTCGGCAGCGCGGACCCATTTATTAATCTTCCACGCACCATTCCTCGGCCAGCTCTTCCTAAGCAATTCAGATTAGAATTTGGGGCCTGCATGCAGAAGCAAATTGGGCAGTGCAAGATTGCTAAAAAATGGCCAATCCATCCATATGCCTTTCATCTCACTGTCTTCATTTCTCACTCATTACTTCTTGATATATATTTTTCAAGATATGCCGTTACCCAAAGTTACACAGCTTTGAAAGGATAGACGTAAAGTAAGTGCAAGTACCGGGACATGAGTTGATAAATGTGTGGAAACATCCACCCTTGACGTCAATCCAAAAGCTGGTCTGTCGAAGGCAATAACTTTGGAACCAGTGACCTCAGCCAAAGGCTTCGTAGCCCGACTCCAAGAGTAGACAGAAGCTCCAGATCCAAGAAACAAGATCATAGGAAGACCAAGCTTCCAAGAATTATTATGAGGAACTTGAGAAAGAGTGTGGCTTTGTGATGAATCATTTGCCTGTGATTCTGCATCATATATCTTATGGTGTATCTGTAACCCTCTAAACTCACAGAAACAACTACCTGGATCAGCTAAAATTGAAGTTTATGATCAGCTAAAATTGAAGGGTATAATAATTTATCTTGATCTATACCAAATATTTTCTCCTTTGTTCTAGCATTCAAACACTGCTCTGGATACCGAATGAAAAATAGAAAAGATAACTAACAACTAGCCGAATATCTCAAAAAAACAAGAGCTATGTGTTGTGAGGTGTGCACGAGTAAGAAGCAGAAATTATAAGGTTTAATATGTTATTTGTTTTTGTGTTTTAAAAATATTTTTGAAAAAATTTAAATTTTTTTATTATTTTATTTTAAATTAATATTTTTTAATGTTTTAAAATTATTTTAATGAGTTAATATCAAAAATAATCTAAAAAAATAAAAAAATTATTTTAATATATTTTAAAAAAAATACTTTGAAAGCAACCGCAACCTTTAAATGTATTAAATTCCTAGAACATGGCTAACAAAATGATTTTTGTAATTATTTTTATTTAATTTAGGAACAATGTTTTTATTATTTATTTAATTTAATAAATTTTGATAATTTTATTTTTTCTATTTAACTTAGAAATTTTTAATTCCTTAGTACTTGGCCTGTATTTTGTTAAATTAATAGAAAAAAATATTTATTAATAAAATTATAAATTAAAATTTTTGTATGATGATACTATTTAGAAAATTTTTATATTAATTGTGATGATGTTTTCTAGATTAATTAGTACCAAAGTCTAAAAATTCCCAATGTTTAATATTATGTGCTGGCATAATTACACAATGATTCATAGTAGTTAATGTTCTGGAAAAGAACATAAAACAAGACGTAATGGATTTGGGGATGAGAAATTCCTTTTTAAAAAAATAACATTTAAGAATTGATGGTATATTATGTAGAGGTATATTTAAAATTATCCATGTCAGAGGTGAGCAACTTGGGGTATCATGGAGAGAGTGATTTTGAGCTTATAACTAACTTTGAAAATGTGTTTTAGAGAGAGTAAGGAGGTAGCCTATTGATTAGTACTTAAAAATGTATTTTTGGCATGACCAGGTTGTGGTAAGAATATCACTCTTAATTGTTTCCTCTGAGTTGAGGAATTGAATATTTTGATCAAGTCGAATCTGAATGCTACTTTTACCTAACTTACAAGGTGTTCTCCTCTGAATCTACTATCAGCTTCTCAAATACATACAAGCTATGAGAAGAATGCCACAATTCTTGATTACTTCGAGACAAGAACCAGGTATAGCTTGTGAAAGTGCCTCGGCGTTCCAGGATGGAACAAGTCGCTCATTGTCACTCGTGATGATCAAAACTGGGAGTCCATTATCCGTCGGCAAAGACACCAGGGTCAGCATTTCATTCAACCTTTTAAAATCAATAATACAAGTCGCTCATTTTCACCCGTGATGATCAGAACTGGGAGTCCATTATCCGTCAGCAAAGACACAAGTATCAGCTTTTCATTCAACCTTTTAAAATCAATAATTAATGTGACAAAGCTGAAAGTATTTTCACGACTCAAAAAACTGATGCTATACTCAGTGGGAATCAACAAGAAGACACCAAGAAATTCCAAGTAGAGAGATCCTCATTGAGAAAAAAGTCCCCCATTAAACCCATTTATTAATCTTCCATGCTCCATTCCTTGGCCAGCTCTTCCTAAGCAATTCAGATTAGAGATGAAGGAGCCTCGCTAGTTTGACTAAAAAATGGCCAATCCATCCAAATGCCTTTCGTCTCACTGTCTTCATTTCTCACTCATCACTTCTTAATATATATTTTTCAAGTTGTGCAGTTACCCAAAGTTACACTGTTTTGCAAGGATAGACGTAAGTTAGAGCAAGTACCGGGACATGAGTTGATAAATGTGTGGAAACATCCACCCTTGACGTCAATCCAAAAGCTGGTCTGTGGAAGGCAATAATAACTTTGGAACCAGTGACCTCAGCCAAAGGCTTCATAACTCGACTCCAAGAGTAGACAGAAGCTCCAAATCCAAGTAACAAGATCATAGGAAGACCAAGCTTCCAAGAATTATTATGAGGAACTTGAGAAAGAGTGTGGCTTTGTGATGAATCATTTGCCTGTGATTCTGCATCATATATCTTATGGTGTATCTGTAACCCTCTAAACTCACAGAAACAACTACCTGGATCAGCTAAAATTGAAGTTTATGATCAGCTAAAATTGAAGGGTATAATAATTTATCTTGATCTATACCAAATATTTTCTCCTTTGTTCTAGCATTCAAACACTGCTCTGGATACCGAATGAAAAATAGGAAAGATAACTAACAACTAGCCGAATATCTCAAAAAAACAAGAGCTATGTGTTGTGAGGTGTGCACGAGTAAGAAGCAGAAATTATAAGGTTTAAGATGTTTTTTGTTTTTGTGTTTTAAAAATATTTTTGAAAAAATTTAAAATTTTATTATTATTTTATTTTAAATTAATATTTTTTGATGTTTTTAAATTATTTTAATGAGTTAATATCAAAAATAATTCTTAAAAAATAATAAAAAAATATTTTAATATATTTTCAAATAAATTTTTTTTTAAAAACAATCACAACCATATTTTTAAATATATTAAATTCTTGAAACATGGCTAACAAAATGATTTTTGTAATTATTTTTATTTAATTTAGGAACAATGTTTTTATTATTTATTTAATTTAATAAATTTTGATAATTTTATTTTTTCTATTTAACTTAGAAATTTTTAATTCCTTAGTACTTGGCCTGTATTTTGTTAAATTAATAGAAAAAAATATTTATTAATAAAATTATAAATTAAAATTTTTGTATGATGATACTATTTAGAAAATTTTTATATTAATTGTGATGATGTTTTCTAGATTAATTAGTACCAAAGTCTAAAAATTCCCAATGTTTAATATTATGTGCTGGCATAATTACACAATGATTCATAGTAGTTAATGTTCTGGAAAAGAACATAAAACAAGACGTAATGGATTTGGGGATGAGAAATTCCTTTTTAAAAAAATAACATTTAAGAATTGATGGTATATTATGTAGAGGTATATTTAAAATTATCCATGTTAGTTGACAGAGGTGAGCAACTTGGGGTATCATGAAGAGAGTGATTTTGAGCTTTTAACTAACTTTGAAAATGTGTTTTAAAGAGAGTAAGGAGGTAGCCTATCGTGAGGGTGGATAAGATGTAAAATTGAGAATTTTGATAATTCTAGTTATTTTTAGATTGGATTCCATCATGATATTTTATTTTAATGATAATTATAATATTTAATTATAGCATACATAATAACAATAATGATGTTATTGATAAGTTATGATTGAATGAAAAGAGAACATTAAAAAAATAAATTTATCTAAGTTGTAAACCCTTTGCTTAAAACAAGGAAATTAATACTCAAGATAGAAGAAAAATTGTTATTGATGGGGATGAAAACTTTTAATAATTTAACTTAAGTTTTAGAGAAAATAAAGTAATAAATTAATATATAAATATTAACATAATGATGAATTGTGTAAATTTTTAAATTAGATATAATAATTATTTAAGGAAGTTTTTTTTATAAATTCAGTAGAAAAACATTGATATAATAATAATAGTAGTGATAGTGATGGTGATGGTGATGGTGATGGTAGTTGTTATAGTCGTGGTGTTAATGATGGTGGTGATAATGATGACGATGGTTATAGTAGTAGTAGTAATAATAATAATATAGTAGTAGTGGTAGTAGAGTGATATTCTAAGAAAAATAATGTTTAATTCTTATGATTGAAAAATATTGATCATCAATATAAACTCTTGTAAAGTAGTATTATTTTGACCAAAAATTAAGAATGGTGATAGTAGTAGCAGTAGTAGTAGTAATAATAATAATAATAATAAAGTGACATTCTAAGAAAAATAATATATGATTTTTACGTATGAAAAATATTGATCACCAGTATAAATACTTTATAAAATAGCATTGTTTTGACCAAAGGTAATTAAAACTTTATATAGCATTTGATGATGGTTATGAATGAGAGTCATCAATAAATTACTTTAAAAATAATGATGATATATGCAAATTTTGAATTTTTGATGTAAAATTATATATTATTTAGTTTTATAATATTAATTATATTTTTTAATCCAACCATTGGATTATGTTAAAAAATTTTGAGTAGTCTTTTGACTTATTGTTTTATCTTGGATTACAATTTTAATGTAATTAGATTTTTAAAAGACCTTGCAAAATTAATGATGGTCGGATAAAAATACAAAAAATAACACATGTACTCATTAATGAATTTTTTATAATTTTGTCTAAATCCAAATCTTCCCTGTTATTTTGATAGATAATTCCTAAGAAAGTATAGGGGACTTGACTTAATTGTATTTTCTTCTTCAAGTTAGTGTCTAATCTTCTAAAATATTAGGCTTAGAAAATGTGTAAGAGTGATTTCTATATATATATATATATATAAAAGACCAATTCAATATGGAAATCCTTAAGAGAAAATGGGTTTGAAGGGAAAAAATAGTAGATATAAAAAGGTTTTAAGTTTGAAGAAGGGAAAGAAGAATTTCAGGGAAATTACCATGAACTTATTAAATTATTAAATTAAGTAATGTTAGATAAGGTGAATAACTAATCTTCTGTCAACTTTACATTCTATTCATGTTTTGAAAGAGGAAATTATAAAGACAAGGAACAATATAAATAAATACTTGTGTTTGATCATTTGATTGAAATTATGAAAACAATGGAAATTTCTTTTATAAAATACTAAATAAATAAATAAGATAAATATTAATTGTTGATTTGTGATGTATTAAACATGAAATTGAGATATGAAAGTGTAAAAGTTTTAAGAGAGGGCTTAAATTGATGGTATGAAATTATCCTAACAATTATAAAATAAATTGATAATTGGTTATGTATGGATATTAATTGATAATCTGAGATTTATGGAAATTTCTATAATTAAATTTATGTTAGCAGTGTGAGTGTTAATTATTATTGTTTAGTATTAATTATTATTGTTTGGAGTGATTGCAGGAGAAGAGGTCAAAATAGGGCTTAACTTCTTTATATCTTTTATAATAGAAGTTTAATGTAATTCCCTCTATTTTTTTAATTATTTAAATTTTTATAATGCTAGAATGTTATATATATTTTGTATTATTATGTATCATAAAAAATATATTTATGTAAACATTGACTGCATGCATGATAAATATTGTTGTGTGAATATTACCAGTGAACTTGAAATATTAATATTGAGTGAATATTGTCATTTAGCAAAAAAATATTAATATTATGTGAATGCTACCTATAGATAAAAAAATAGTTTTATTATGTGAATTTAATTTGATTAATTAAAATATTTGCAGTTAATGACATCAATGAAATTATAATTAAAATAGTTAATTCGATTAGCTGATATATTTGAAATTAGTGATATCAATAAGGTTAAGGTTAATGATTAAAATATTTAATTTGATTAACTTATATATTTGAATTTATTAACATCAACAATGTTGATGATTAGAATATTTAATTTAACTAGTTATTTATAAAAAAGTTAGTAATATCAATGTAATTGATAACCATAGTATTAAATTAACTAAGTGTTATATAAAGAGTTAATGGTACTTTGGTACATGTCTATTATATTTTAATAAGGTATTTATAAAAAAATATAGCAATTGACATATTGATATTTTATGAATTTGCAAAAGAAGCCATTAAAGGACAAAATTTGAAAAGATAAATCAATAATTAAATTGATGAGATGAATGAATTTGAGTTAGGTACAAGATTGATAAGAATCTAGTTAATTTTTGAATTCTAGAAAGAAAACAAAGAAAGAAAGAAAATTTATGCAAAGAGCTTCAAATAAAAAAAAGTTCTAAAAGATAATATTAACATTTATTTTATATTTTATTTTATTTATTAAATATAATATATTATAAGTGTTCAATTATTTGTAACAGATACAACATAAATGAATCTGAAGAAATATATAGTGTATGAATATTTTATCATAGATTTTAGGTAGAATAGTAATTACTATATAATTTATAATTCTGATTGTAAATTAGAATTATAGATTTATGCTTGCTAAGTGATGTTATTTCTAGTTTGTATATAATAGCTAGTTAATGTTTATTTAATAAGTATAGCATGACTTTTAAAATTTAATGCAATTTTTTTATTTAGTTGTTTATTTATATTATGTTGAGTTAAATATTTATATTTATATGATATGTAAAAAAATTTCATTGAGATGATGTTGAGAGAATGAATTGTAATTCCAGAAAAATTAGATTAGTGATTGTGAAATGATTTTGAAAATATATAGATTTATATTGGTAACTTATTACCATTTAAGTAGAGGAAAACTTTACTAAAATTTTCAATAGAATATTTGATAAGATGACAAGGATTCAAATATGATATTCCAGCTAATCATAACCATACATATACATCTAAGTATAATATAAAATTACCTCTAAATTTCTCTTACAAGACAGTATAATATAAAATTATCTCTAAATTTCACTTACAAGACAATTGAAAAGATGAAAATTGTACAAAAAAAAAATTCATGGCTTTACATAAGCTATATTAATCATTTTAATTATAAATTTATTATCATCACAAAGATAAATTTGTGTTAAAGATTATATGACATGTTAATAAAATAAGTTTGAGATTTGTAATTCATTACTTTATAAATAATTTATTAACTGTTTTTTATGAAAATATTTACATAAAAGTAATGAAATTAATTTCTAAAATAATAATACATTTGAAACAAAAAAAAAGAAGGGTTGAAGAACTTTTATTAGATATCTACAAGAACAAGACAATAATAATTTGAACTCAAGGATAAATTATTTTTAACTTGAGAAATTTTAGAAAAAAATATTATGTATTTCTTTAATTATTTTTATTTTTTTTAATTTAAAATAATATATATATTTTTTCATATTTAGTTTACTATAAGTTTACAAGAGGGAAAAAGACTTGTAGGTGAGGTGAGCACATAAAACATCACAAAAAGACATTAAATGGTACCTCTGACCGACGACAAGTCGTTTAACTCATTCGGAACTTACCTTATAGCTAGCAAGAGTGGAGAAGCAAGAACGAAGATGAAAGATTGAAAGAGGAAAAAAAAAATATATATATATGGAGGCTTTGGTGTGCAAGAAACTAGGTGATCCAACATCATTGAAATCATCAATATCAGAGGCAGATAATGATTCCCCAATAATTCTAAGCAAAACCCATCCTATCCCACAACTTAAATCACCCACATCAGTTAGAGTTAGAGTTAAAGCTACAAGCTTGAACTATGCAAATTACCTGCAAATTTTAGGCAAGTATCAAGAGAAACCTCCTCTTCCTTTCATTCCTGGCTCTGATTATTCTGGCATCGTTGATGCTGTGGGTTCTGGTGTCTCACTTTTAAAGATCGGTGACCGTGTTTGTTCCTTTGCTGCGCTTGGTTCCTTTGCTGAATTCATTGTTGCTGACCAGGCTGAATTGTGAGTTATAAAGTGATTGAACATTAATTTCTTTGATTTTTGTGTTTGATAGTTGTTAATGGAGATGTGTTTTGTTTGATTTTGATACTTGTAAAGGTTTAAAGTGCCAGATGGGTGTGATTTGGTTGCTGCTGGTGCATTACCTGTGGCTTTTGGCACCTCGCATGTTGCACTTGTTCATAGAGCTCAATTGACTTCTGGTCAGGTGGGTACTGCACAAGTTGTTTTTTGTTCATTTCCATCCATGTCTATGTGTTTTGAGTTTATAACGATGATTGCCAGCGTACTCAATCTGGAAGTGTTTTCTAAGGCGATGTATGGGATTTTTTGTAGGTGTTGTTGGTTCTTGGTGCAGCTGGAGGGGTTGGTCTTTCTGCTGTTCAAATTGGCAAGGTTTGTGGGGCTGTTGTTATTGCAGTTGCAAGGTACTTACATTGCTTTTGTACTCCTTCAGATATCATTTATGACAATCATTCCTTTTGATTGTTGTTGTTTTGGTGATGCCTTTAGTTTTAAGTATTTTATTTTAATTTTAAGAAGTAGAACCATTTTGGGGTTGTATCCCTGGTTTTGACTATGGCAGGGGAGATGAAAAGGTGCAGTTTTTGAAGTCATTGGGAGTGGACCATGTAGTGGACTCGAGCAAAGAGAGTGTCATTGCAAGTGTCAAGGACTTCCTTAAAGCAAGGAAGCTCAAAGGGGTAGATGTTTTGTATGATCCTGTTGGAGGCAAACTTACTAAAGAGAGCATGAAGTTGTTGAATTGGGGTGCTCAGATCTTGGTTATTGGTTTTGCTAGTGGGGATGTACCTGTCATCCCTGCAAATATTGCTCTTGTCAAGGTACTTGTTTCATTTTCCTAATACTTGGATTTCCTAATATCAATTCTTGCAATTTTTCGCTCCTTATGGTAAACCAAATCACCTATAAAGATGCTATGTGAGATTCAAAATTAATATTGAAAGAAAGGAACAAGATTAGATAACAGTAAAGGAGAGTTGGTTCATGACCAAACAGTTCAGAAGAACTATCCAACTTGTGTTTATTTACAATGTGTCATCGTTTTGCACTTCGAGTGGGTCAAGAGACATGGCCATGAGTCACAAGATTGACTGCATATTCCTCTTTTTCCTTTTTTTTTTTTTTTCTTGTGAGTATGCTACATAACTATTACTCTAGAATCTCTTTGAACATGAAGAATATCACTCTAGATATTATCTAGAAAAAACTCAGGTCTAGTTTCAAGGAGTATTGGTGGTGTATGCGAACAGAGGGAATGGTGTTGCATGTATTCAAGTAGCACCTGCTTTAAATCCTCAACTGTTTCAAAAATATATAGAAGTATTTGAGAAGCTTGGACGACATTAGTCAGTGCAGAACTACGCTGAATACCAATTTTAATAAAATTAGCAGTTTTACTACTGAAGCACTCCAAATTGGGCTATTTTCCTTTCAGCAGGTCTTTATCCTACCATTGTTTATATGATTGCACAATACAAATTATTCATGATGATATTATCAAGTTTTTAAATGTCCTCTTCTTCTCTTTTTTTTTTTCCAGAACTGGACTGTGCATGGACTTTATTGGGGCAGCTATAAAATACATCGACCTGTTGTGCTTGAAGATTCAATCCGGGAGCTGCTTTCCTGGGTGGCAAAGGGCTGGATTACCATCCACATTTCTCACACTTACAGTTTATCAGAGGTCCAGAACTCCCTCTCTCTCTCTCTAATTAACTGAGCAAAATTTTAGCTTGAAGATGGTTTACCATTATGATTCACTGAACTAAATTAAACATTCTGAGCTCAATTCTCCTACAAATTGAGCTGGTAAAGGCATACCAAAGTTCCTTATGGTTAAGCAGCTTTCCAAGAACCAAGCAAATCCTATACGCATGATCATGTCCTATGTAATCAATGCCAAAACTCTAATAGATTTACATTCCAAATTTCTACTGCTGTACATAGGTCACTCATGGTCATGTAACAGCATTTCCTGAATGAAGGACTTGGTTTGTGATAATATCTTCGTTTGGTCCAACATATGAATCTACCAACAAGAAGTCATCAACCAATCCAAGCATGGATGTACAGATCATTTAATGACATCTGTCTAACCCAACAGTGAGTTCGTAGTCTAGCAGGTGTTAGATTCATGCATTGTCAGGTTCAATTCACAACTTGTTTGACTTCTTTTCCTGTTTGGGATCTGATGAAAAGAAATTAATCAACCTCTGAAGCACCAAGCACAACTATTTCACTGCAATAAGTTCTTTTTTCCTTTTATTTGGGTAAATCATAAATGATAAAAACAAGGAGTTCAAGCTTATCATTCCACCTTGCATTGAAAATTCGGCAAGTTTATTGGTAGACTTGGTATGTGCATTATATTGACAGACGTTTTGGTTTCTAGTCTTCATAAATCATGGATTTTCCACCATGCAAACAATGGTGTATTATTCAGTGACAATGTTGGTGTTTTGCCTTTGACAGGCCAGTCTCGCGTTTGCCGCCATTAAAGATAGGAAGGCAATTGGGAAGGTGATGATTGCTATTGATGATGAAAGAAGTGTAAAATCTAAGCTTTAAGTCAATCAGGATTCAGATGGGATGGAATGCAGAATATATTCTTTTTCGCAGACTCTCCTTTTAAGTTACCCGTCAAGCAATTTTCTCATTTCTGTTTGATACAATTGCTTTACTTGTCAATAAGGTAATTATCATGTAGTAGTTGTTGAAAAATGCCAAATAAGAGAACTATTATACCGAAAGAAAAATAAAATAAAAATTGCAGATGAATATTGGTGAAATTGCATAAGCTTTCTTCCTGCATATTCACTATGTCCAGTGTTGTGTGTTTGATAATGTGACGTGAGATATTTTTTAAAAGTATTTTTTTTTGTATGAAAATATATTAAAATAATTTGTTTATATTTATTTATTTATTTTTGGTAATAGCATATAATCATTAGAAAACCTTAAAAAATTATTAAAATTTAATGTGTTTTCATATCAAACACTTCTAAAACGTACGAAGTTTTAAGCTCAAAAACTGTAAAGACCGTTCATCTTTTTTAACGCAGTCGGCTGGAAATAATCACAACTGGAGCGATCCTATTGCAGTTCCCTGTACTGCTTGCTGTACCTATGGGGCCATCACAATGCTATTGTGAATGAATAATTGTTTCTTGTCTTGCATAAAAAGGATAAAAGGTTGAAGTTACGAAGAGGATATATATTTCCTTGTTACAAGGCACTGGCAACCATGTAATCACCAGTTATAGCTGAGGAATTATAATTATCAGAAATAAGTAATGATTTTTTTTTCTTTTTTCATACAACAGCAAATAGCCATTACTTTTTGCTTGAGAAACACAATTAGGAATGCAATGACAAAAATCTGTAAAGCCTAAGTTCGGAAAATTAAACGAAGTAATTGCTAGGATATGAAAAAACCTGAATAATTTTTACCATGTTATTTTTTTGTAAAATCTTAATAGTTTATTAGATTTCATGTTGAATTCATCAAATAACTTCCCAATTATACAACAAAGTAAGAAAAATTAATTGGAAACACCAGGCATGGAAACCAAAATTGATAATGGAGAACACTGCAAGTGGTTGTTGGATTGTATTACAATTGTAAGGTCCCCTTCATGGTACTCGTATCTTTCGAAGGTCTTATAGAATTGTACTCCCATGAAATATTCTTTCTTTTCTTATATAAATAAACCCCATGCTGTTGCGTGGGTTGTTTCTGTGCTACTGTTTTTTCTTTTCCTTTAGTTTTAGTATTGGTTTTGCTGTTCCCCTTTCGTAGCAAACATCCTGTCTTGTGTCTTCTACGGATTCCTCAAACGTTGAAAGGGCTCAAGATCGAAGAAGGATACAACAAGGTGTGGCTTCTAGCTTCCTCTATAGCATCGTGTCAGACAATCTATCAAGACTAAGTGTCAAGACCCTCGTCAGATTCAAGTCGGTCTGCAAGTTATAATAATGCGTGATTCCCAACCCTGGTTTCCAAGCCTTGCATCACAATAGATCGTGCAGTAATCATTGATTCCTTCGATTTATGAATTTGATTTTCAGCTCCATTCAAATCCCATAGACAGATCATATTTTTATAAATTTGTTTCAGTGGATACAGAGGGGGAATAAGCACGATTTTATTGATCTTAAGGTGCATGCCCCTATTAAACTCATATTGCCAGGTTGCTTTGCTTTGCTTAGCTACAGAAACACAAATTCATGTGTGTAATCCTAGCACTCATCAGCTTTTTGAATTGCCAGAATGTGGAAGTAAAATAGCAGGATTCGGGACAGGAAGCTAGACTCGTAAGAGTCCAGTTGGTTCTCCTTCTCCGATATCTACAACACACCCAAAAAGCAGAACAGAGTGCTTGGTTGGGAAACAGGACATTCATGGAAGATTTCCAACATCCAATGGAAAGGTCTAGTCCTCCGGCCTTCGCAAATGAAGCTACTTACTGGAAGATTGACCGCAGGAGCTTCCGCAGGAGGCATAACGTTTTTATTTTCGCGTTTAATATTGGAAACGAAATGTTTGAAACCATTACTCATCCTGCATTTTGAAGACTTATTGCTTATTCTGATTGGACACCACATGTTCGAAATTCAACTCCTCCATGTGGGAATTTGTGCATGGTAGGGACTTGAGATTATCTCAGGTGGCAGTTTGGGAACTGAAGGATCCTAGGAATTGCATATGGCAAGGCAAAAACAAAAAAAAGGAGCATGATCCACATAAGGGCAAGTAATCTTTTGAAAAGGATACAGAAATCATATTCAATTCTTTTACTGATCTTCTCATCTACTCAGCAGTGATGAAGAAAACATTTAAGGAGAAGATGCGAGCTTACCCCTTATTGGTGAATTCTTGCTTGTTTAAAGGGAAAATAAGCCACCTATAGGCAATTAGTTTACAGGGCTTTCTCTTAATCCCTTGCCCTTCTCTTTTCTGTAGAAAATACCAGGGCTTTTTGCAGGTCTTTCTTGTTTCTTTTAAGTTTCGTGTGAGTTGGCTTTATCTTCAAAGAAGAATTACCAAAGAAGCATGTCAAATGGCTAACTTTAGAATCAAGCAAGCGTTATAAGTTGATAGAATATCAACATATAAATAAAGAAGAAAGCCGTCATTTAATTGAACAAAACAGTGATTATAGACAAGGGCTTAGAATACAAGAATCATCTAAAAAGACCCATCAACAAAATTGGGAAAACTTAATGGCCATCAACTTTGCTAAAAGTATAATGGCCCGAAAGAACAGAGGTTTTCTCTGCTTCTTCTGATTGTTCTTACTGGTTCCCCTTACCCACTACTTCAGCTGAAGCAATTTGTGCCTTTGACCTCTTACACATCTTTCTTGCTTTCAATAATGCCCTCCTCTGGTTAAATGGGTGCTCTTTTTTCTCCAAATCTTTCACTGTTCTCGCTTCCGACAGGTCTGCGAAGGACTTGCATTTCCCATCATAGGACGTTGCCAATCCTCTTCTCTGGGTTGGTAGAGAGTCTAGCATCGAACCAAAAGAACCATACCCTCCTTCTCTGTTGAGATTCCTCTCCTTAGACATGACTTCCTCGTGGCCTTGTTCAGTGCCATTGTTTGGAACAACCATAGAATTACTGTCGGAAGAGATTTTGGACGACTTCTTGTCTAAATCACCCATTATCAGCAAATACAAAGTAAACAGCAGCACACCAATTTTCTCTTTCACACTAGTCCTATTTATAGAGTTCCAAACTCAAATTTCCTAAAAAGTTCAGGTCTTTCCACAAATAGCACGGCAACTGGGAACCAACATCAAATCACTTTCCTCAAGTAGCACGGAAACTTAAAACTATATCATGATGTCTCAGTCAGCATAAGATAATGAATGCAAATGCATACATAATTGAATCAATGAGCATCAGACAACATTGGAACTGATGCCGGAAATCCATCAACTTCTATGCGGTCAAATTAGAAATAGCATCGGGATCGAATGACTAGAGCTTTTATATTTTGGTTGTCAATGATTTTAATTGGAAACTACTCAAAGTCTGCAGCTTTGAAAAACCAACCATTATTTGATCGAACAGATTAAGTTTAGTTGCATGTGCACACTAATCATTTTGCGATGATCATGTTAAAGGAACTCTATTGTATTGTGCTTACAAGAACCGTGCCTGACAGACACAAGAAGCATGAATCGCATAAAGCATCTAAAATCAAGCAAGTATGACAACGAACCCAACCTGGCAGTTATCTGCCAGCGGTAAATTATTATAGAGGAAGGCATCAATATTAACCACACACAGATTAATTAGGCGACATTCTTGCATCATTATATAAGCTTTCAGATAATAACTTGCAGCGTCTTGATGATGGCTGATCAGCATGGTAGAATGATGAGCAGAAATTACAATAGGCTGAACACATTTTTTGTGTTTTCGTCGCATATAACGTAGAAAATCTCGCATGCTTTGAGTAGCTCTTTCCCAATCTATGATATCATATGAAACACACGAATGAATAACAAGATGAAAACGCAATCATATAAGGTTTTCATGATGGTACCCAAGAAAAGAAATCATGGATGTGAGGAAAAAAGAAATAGAAAACTATGAAGAGTGAATTGGAGGGGTGAATGCGTAGGGGAACAGGTCGAAAGGCATGATGAGCGTCTTCTAGGCCTAGGACTTCCGAGCTGAGAGAGACTGAAGTTCCTCCTCCTTATCACCAGGTAGCTTATCAGAAACCAATCTCTGGGAGAGATTAATAATCTCCATAGCTTCAGAATATCTTTGCAACGATTGCAATGCCTTGCACATCTATGAACCCTACCAAGAGACAGCAAACTATCAGAAAGTAAAAGAATGTACAGGTGAATTTATTCAACATGAGTTGAATTCCTTAATCTAAAACAAACTGTCAAGTGCAAATTCAATAAGTTTCAAGAAAGTGTACAAATAAAAAAATAAAGTATTGATGAATAAAAATAAAGGGGAAAAAAAATACAAACATCTGAATAAGGTCAGGGGAGGAACTCTGATTTCTCGCTGTAACCTCCAAAAGGAAAGTCAATGGGAGGTCAGGTCCAAGTGGCAACAACTTGCTAGTAAATTAAATAACTAACAGATATTGCACATCATCAAATTCAATCGGTGTTTAAATACTAATTTAGTCGAAAATAAATTTATTAATAGAATTATTGACGGGATTATTTCATCGGAAAAGCTTGATGAATTTGGGTTGTTTAAACATGTATAATCGGTGGTTTTAATTTCTTTTAGCCAATTCTTTAATAATATAATCATCATTAAATTTACAAATATAAATATTATGACACAAAAAATATAATTGTATTAATTTTTTTTATAAATTTATTGGTGATTATGATATATTACTAATAAAATAAACTACTGGTAAGCCAATTAATGATAAGCATGTTAATGACATAATTAAATTATTGAAGAATTTAACAATGTATTAATTTTTTTCTGTAAGTTTATCGGTAATTATGATATATTATTGATAAAACAAACTATTGATAAGTCAATCGGTAATATGCATGTTATTGACATAATTAAATTATTGGAGAATTTAACAATGACAAGTCTTATAATTTTTTTTTTCCAACTCTTTAAAGATTAACCATATATACTAGTAAGGGTTTTTAATAACTACTTAAGAATATTCATTTTATCTCCTAGTTTGGTTATCTCAACCCTAAGTTGGATTATCTCAGCACTAAGTCAAATCATCTCATCTTAATCTATTCTTGTATAATTGTCTGGATGACTTTAGAT